TTTCCGACTGGCAAATACACAACAATTCGAATGAGAAAGCCATCAACTTCAATGACGCGTCGTTTTCTCGCCTAAGTAAGTGTATTCTTTCTGTATTTTTTGTGTTGGCGGCGCGAAAGGTAGAAAATTCCCCTGCAATATTTTCGAACCTTTTCGCCACGAAAACACACCCTTAAGATATAATACAAGTCAGTTTCCACGTTGAACACATTTTAAAGACATTAACAAATTTTGACGCAATTATTTAACATGTACCATAAAGAACTGAACAATAGCATTGTACTTAATGTAAACATAACTTCAAACCAGCAAGAAAGATCGATAGCGATGTTAAAGCATGTCAGTCAAAAATCGAGCAAATTTTACCAGCAGTGTGTGTCATGATATATATAAGATGTTAAAATGATGATAATACTAGCTGTTCTGAATTAATTCATTTAACGCTGCTGATAAATTTCTTCGTCTATCAAAAATAGATAGGTCTCGTTCCGAAATCTCCACATTTCTCATTCACATTTTCACCTTAAACGAAAACAGAATATTATAATATTCTTAGACTACTATTATACAATGTATAATCTGTTTGTTGATTTGACAGAATTATAAATTTTCCCGTTTATATCTGAGGAAATTGCAAGGCGATAAACTTTGATTAAGCCAAGCAGAAGACATGTCTAATCTCATATTGTTCCTTATCATTTTATTTTATTTAACCACTCTGCTTGTTTACTAAGCTATTTATTCTACCGTAGACTAATAGTATGTTTTCACACTGATTTCCGGTAAATTTGCGCGGGAAAGCTTTCCCCGGATTTTTTCAGACGAATAGAAGATATTGTCTAAGATAATGAAATATGATTGGATATTAAAATCAAATAAGTTTTTCTCTTAAATCGGATGTGAAAATCCAAGGAAATAAGCGCTTTAAGGTGTTTAAAATGGGCGTGATTACGTCGACGACTTCGAGTTTCTTGTCAGCAGGCGTTTGGAAAGTCTTCCAAAGTGCATCCTTTACTTGTGAATGTTAGGGATAAAGGCTTACCTAAAGCACAAAAACAGGGACAATGCCATATCTGAATAAAATCTATTTAAATTATAAGTGAATGTGATATGAATTTAGTTTAAATTTTTTTGTCCATGAATTACACGGAGTATGACCCATATACTTACAGTTTGTTTTACAAGTTTCGAATATTTATCAGCTTTACTTATACTGTTCATGAAATTATTATGAAACAACATGTATGTAAATGGTCACATGTTACGAATGATTTATTGATAATATCACAATTGTATTTTAACACTATCTTGTATGCTGGATTAATGTATTAATGTGCATTTTAAAATATGCTGGATAAAATGTATCAGAAGCCATCATATACTTTGCAATGTTTTCTTGTTTTTACACCTTGCATGTGTAATTGAGTTAAAGTCTGAAATTGTATCGGCAAATATATAATCGTTAAATTTAAATTGTGTATGGAAAATTGCACCAGGAGCCTCCAATTCATATGAAAATATTTTTCCCCACGATCGAATAAAATTTTACAATCTAAGTTACACGTTCTAAAGTTTGACATTTTATGCAAAAAATGAAGACACTTGTATTTTATAATGTGCACTCAATATGCTACTGAAGCCACCATTTAACATGCGGGTTTCATTTCTGTCCTTGAAGAGAACCCCCTTGCGTCACCCACGTTAAAGGAAAGGGTTAGGTTGATATTTAAAACCATCAGCCGAAAAGTTAGGGATCGTGCCGTCATGTGTTTATGTACCAAGTTGACTCTTGAAACCTTAATCCTAACAATGCCTTACGTTTTAACAGAAAACGCAAAAACAAATTGAATCAAAGGGCTGCAAGCTCTGCGGTATTTTCTGATCTTTTCAATCTAAATCGTTCTGTATATCTGTATGTATTTCCCTGTATAAGTTTATTTTATGCACTATAATTAATCTTGCAGAGAACCAGAGTTTGATACATACATAATTTTGCATAACTAGAGTTGCATCAAAAAATCATTTATGTTCATTTTTTATGACAGCCACTCCTTAACAAAGACACTCAAAAAATTATAAAAAAAAATGTTGCCTCGACTGGGATTTGAACCCCAGACCTCTCAAACACCAAACGAACGCGTTACTCCTGCACTAAGGAGAAGTTATACGATCGAAGCCTCAATAAAATCAAGTTATTCTAAATTTAGAATTTCCATTTCATTTTTCGGGTTTGTAATCCTTATTAATTTCGAGGTATTTTGTTCAAGATAAACCTTTTTGTTTAAAATTGATGTAAATAATTTAGCGAAAATCTTCTCGCCAAAACAGTCCGACATGTAGAATCTATATATTCCACTACTCGACAGTCAGATTTGTGTAGTATTCGGTAATCGACATCGCTCAAAATAGCATTTTCATTGATTAAAATGATATTCATCCGCCTAATTTGTGATTGTGCATTAATTTTATTGACAATTCTATAAGCCAACACTACTTTAAAACTTTGAATGCGTTGTAATTTGTTGGATACTTGTAACAAAATAAAATATTTCTTTCTTTTAAATAGCTAGTTTTAAGCTGTTTTGAGAACTACTTGTTGCTAGGTTTGTCGTTAAGCCGCTCTGTCAGAGATTAAATGCCAGCTTTGTATTTCCTGATCTTCGATCAGAAAATACAAAAACTGGATCACATGATACTTGTTTCAGGATCAACTGAAATTCTCTGATTTTATTCATACACACAAAAATTCATTTAATTGAATATAGAAACGAGTGAAATGATACGTCATTGTTTATATAAATTGTTTGCATTCAACGATTATATAGTTCACTTTTTATAATATCAACTTTATACAAACAGTCATGAGCCCGTACAAAACCTCCTAAAATATCTTCAATTATAATAAACAAATTCTAGCTCTTAAATTTGTTTTCAGTTATGGTTATCCAGACTAAAAGCACAAAGTAATAAATCTTTATGCGTTTAGTATTACAAACAACTTCAATAGTATGATCAACTGGTTTAACTGCATCATTTACTGACATTGATTTTTACTGCATGTGCATCTATAAAACAAGACTCTTTATCACAACGCTATACATCAGTCAATATTAGCAATCGATAATAACTGAAACATAATTTTTCTCCTGGGAAGAGAAAACAAAATTGCATGGAGCAAAACGCAGATAGATTTCATTACAGTTTGAAATAAATATACGCAATTACATAATACTAGACAAGCAACATTGAGTTAAAACATGTTCAATAATGTACAATTTCAGGGAATCTCAAAAAAGAAAACAAGCAAGAAAATCAAAATAGTATCAAAGAAATTAAAGTAGTGATGGGAGTATTCTAAACTTTCTAGTCAGAAAGAAACAATAAACGCAAGTAGATTTTATTACGGATATACAATAACATTATACCAGACAAGCAATATAGAATTTAAACAGTTTCATGATAAATTATTTACAATGTCAAAGAATCTCAGAAAATCAAAATAATATCAATTTATAATACTGATGGGAGTATTTTAAAGTGTCTTTAAAGTGTCTTAAGTCAGTGGAAACAGTAACGGTAGATATATTTCATTAAGGCTTTAAAATAAATATATACAATAGAATAACACTGGGCAAGCAATATAGAATTCAAGTATGATATATTACAATATAAGGGAATCTCATAAATAAGAAAATCAAAATACAAGTACTTAAATTACTGATGGAATGCGATTTTGTTTTTTTTTTGCAAAAATATTTTTAAAAAAGTGGAAAAATTAAGTTCTGAAAACTATTTAGTAATAAAAACAAAACGATTATCTTTCACAGATTTCGGGTATTGGTTTCAAAATTACAAAAATAAAATAAAAACTGGTTTCAAAATTACAAAAATAAAATAAAAACAAGTATCAATATGATACTGAAAAAAGAGAACACAAAGTTTACGGAGGTTGTACTTAAAATTGCATTCGATCGTAACACTTACATGTATTTTAATTAAATACCGGGTAATAATTGCTTCAAAGCATTATTACACAAACCCAAAATAAAAATCAAATATTTCATAGTTAATTGATAATCACCACTCTTGGAAAGTAACAATTAAAAAACATTATTTGCATTCATTTGTTTATTTCTTTTTAATTTTGGTCCGATTGCGAAATGTAGACATAAGCGAGAACAGCCTTACTATCAGAAGTCGGCAATTTTTTAAAGAAGATACTCGACAGTAACAAACCTTATCTAACCGCTCATGAATTCTTTCCTAGTTTCTTTTGATTAGCCAGAAAGATTTAATGCCAGCAGCATATCTTCCTTTCTATTTAATAATAATTTGTTCATACAAAAACGCATAACATTTTTTTTACATTTCAATATGACAAATTTAGGTGATCAAAATTCATTTAGTTTAGTAGTAGAAAATGTTTAAAGGTTTTTCTATTTTTAGCTCTTTTGACCCCTTAAAGTAGTCAATTGAAATGGCATGAGCAAATTTAATGGTGCCTGTCACAAGGATGCTACATACCAAATTTGAAGTAAATCTGCCCATCAGCTTCAGAGAAGAATATGATTGTTGACGCATGACGCCGGACTCGGGAGTATCCCCCTTTGATACTAATAGCTCATCCTGAATCTTCGATTCTGTTGAGCTAATAAAAAATTGTTTTGGTAAATTTATTAAAATCAAGTTGATTTCAGTAACATACAATAACAGTATTAACTTAATTTCCAAATGTTATCAAAGACTGGGTATTATCCACTACGTTTACCGGAGATCAAGGTAGAAACAAATTGTTTTCGGTCGAAAATATAATCGCAAGCGTAGATGGTTGAAATAACAAAAAAAAAAAAAAAAAATTAAACCGCTTGGAAAAGGGGAGCAAAGGAAAAACATTCATCATTTTTTCATATATCAGTTACCTCCCTTAAGTATAGCCAGGTGTGATACAATCAGCAAAATAGTTTTTTCAGGAACCTTGATAAAAAATCACAATAAAAGACTATGACAACAACAGTATATTTATTTCATGACATGGCTTTGATGCAATCAAAGCAGTGGTCATATGCATACATTTTAAAATGGGATTTTATTGGTCGAAATATCTTTAAACACATCCTTATTTATTTGTTTATACGTTTTTGATGGTTTCTCATAATAATATAAAATGTCCGTTACTTTCTCTATATTGAAACCTTCTTCCTTCAATTTCACCTTCGACTGTTTTATCGTTGACGTCATATCAAGCTCTCCCCATTTCAAGCGCAGAAACATTGGAATGGCATAGACCGGAAGTGATTGCTGGCAGTGAGTTGAAATAACAGACAGTTCTTTCTCGGTAATTACAGTGACTTCCGGTTTTATTAGGAGCGTTGCCATACCAGCTTTTCCGTCATGTCCTGAAAATAAGAAGCAACCTTTAATGGATTAGTCTTGCTTTGAATTTTGAACAGTTCATTCCACAGCCGAGTCACTACGACCGTAATGAAAATACAATTAAATCACTAAAACCTTATTATAAATACAATTAGGCCAATAAGACCTGACAACAATAAAGCTCTGACAGTAATTCGAGTGTTCTTGTCCCAGTTTTTGTCAGTCTACACATTTTTCCCACCCTGAGACACAGTAATTACAACATACCTGGTACATTTACACCGTATACACAAGCATCTATGATGAAATCTATGTCTGTCAGATGATTGCTTACTTCTGTCGTAGATACATTTTCACTTTTCCATCTAAAAACGACAACACAAAAATAATGTTCAACAGAACATACACATGTACTTGTGAAAACTTTAGTCCCAGGTGGTACATTGTTCAAGTGGTACTGTAGACAATAATTTTTTTCAAAATAATATCGGTTTTGTTTTGTGATAAGTCTTGCCTTGGCCCATTGATTATATATCTGATGCTCTCTCTTTTGAGCTAAGCATACATACTATTTATATGAATGTACCAATATGTTAGAAATATACATCAATTCAGGTATTAAAGTATGTGGCATTTCACTTATTATATTCTCTTACAGTAATATATATTTGAAAACACACTTACCTAAATGTATCTCCAATCCTGTCATTGAAATAAACATTATAGTCTTTGTCTTTCGTCATCAAGTCACCAGTATTGAAATAAAGGTCACCATCTTTTCTAACATTTCTAAAATCAGTAAGATAAAAGAAACTGTAGTTTTTCAATTCAAATCTAATGGTTTACTATGAACTTTTTTTATGGACTACCGTAATCAAGCCTTGTCACCCTTAATATCAAAAATAGACTTGTCCGTCTTTCATCATGCGATTTGGGAGGAAATTCCATAATATTTTGGGGGGACTGGTCCATAATCAAAGCATGGCACATCTATTATACAAATTAAGTTAGTTAAGATTTTAATTAGTCATTTGACTAAATATCCAGCTCATGGAACTTTCTTGAATAACTTGAAAGAGAAATGTACCTTCTTTGATGAGTGGTTAAGGTCTTCAAATCACTTGCCCCTTATGGGAACTGGTTTGAATAATCCTGTCAAAGACATAAAATTCTTCAATGTGAAATAGGCATCAGGTTACCTAAGGGAAGGCGGGTGGTTCCATTGAACAAAAGTCACACCAGAGGTCTTCCTTCACCAGGAAAGCTTGGACTATTGTCTAACATTAACAATGTACCTCAAAATCTAGCAAACCAAAACTCTCCAGAGATTTTGACAGGAAAGAATAATACATAAATTGAGTAAGGGTTAATCTAGACCATTTTTGGATACCTTGCCAATGGGATAATTGTTAGCATCTTTATCAACTTTGATATTTTTTCACATTTTTTAAAACATACCTGACAACCTTAGTCTCTGACTGTTGTTTTTGTCCTTTGTAACCATCAAATGGCTGATCACTATTTATTTGCATCAACAGTAAACCCGGTTCCCCTTTAAATTGAAAATAATAAAAGATTATACAGTGGAATCTCGACATAACAACACCCATCCAGAAACAAAGTTACTTAGTTTTACAGGTAAACAATGAAAAGGTTAACAAGTTTTACATCCAATTAATAAAATGGTTACCTAGTTTTACAGGTAAACAATAAAATGGTCACCTAGTTTTACAGGTATACAATGAAATGGTCAGACCATAGTTTTACAAGCAAACAATAAAATGGTCACCTAGTTTTACAGGTATACAATGAAGTGGTCAGACCATAGTTTACAAGCAAACAATGAAATGGTCACCTAGTTTTAAAGGTATACAATGAAGTGGTTAACCTAGTTTTACAGGTATACAATGAAATAATTACCAAGTTTAACAAGTATACAATGAAATTTATACCTACTTTCACAGGTATACAATAAAATGGTCACCTAGTTTTACAGGTATACAATAAAATGGTCACCTAGTTTTACAGGTAAACAATAAAATGGTCACCTAGTTTTACAAGCAAACAATAAAATGGTCACCTAGTTTTACAGGTATACAATGAAATGGTCAGACCATAGTTTACAAGCAAACAATGAAATGGTCACCTAGTTTTACAGGTATACAATGAAGTGGTTACCTAGTTTTACAGGTATACAATAAAATGGTCACCTAGTTTTACAAGCAAACAATAAAATGGTCACCTAGTTTTACAGGTATACAATGAAATGGTCAGACCATAGTTTACAAGCAAACAATGAAATGGTCACCTAGTTTTACAGGTATACAATGAAGTGGTTAACCTAGTTTTACAGGTATACAATGAAATAATTACCAAGTTTAACAAGTATACAATAAATTTATACCTACTTTCACAGGTATACAATAAAATGGTCACCTAGTTTTACAGGTATACAATAAAATGGTCACCTAGTTTTACAGGTAAACAATAAAATGGTCACCTAGTTTTACAGGTATATAATGAAATGGTCAGACCATAGTTTTACAAGCAAACAATGAAATGGTCACCTAACATGCCTAATTTTATAGGTATACAAGAAAATGGTTACCTAGTTATACAGGTATACAATGAAATTGATACCTAGTTATACAGGTATACAATAAAATGGTTACCTACTTTTACAGGTATACAATGAAATGGTTACCTAGTTTTACAGCTAAACATTGAAATAGTTACCTAGTTTTACAGCTATACATTGAAATGGTTACCTAGTTTTACAGCTAAACAATGAAATGGTTACCTAGTTTTACAGCTATACAATGAAATTGATACCTAGTTATACAGGTATACAATAAAATGGTTACCTACTTTTACAGGTATTCAATGAAATGGTTACCTAGTTTTACAGCTAAACAATGAAATGGTTACCTAGTTTTACAGCTATACAATGAAATGGTTATCTAGTTTTATAGCTATACAATGAAATTGATACCTAGTTATACAGGTATACAATAAAATGGTTACCTACTTTTACAGGTATACAATGAAATGGTTACCTAGTTTTACAGCTAAACAATGAAATGGTTACCTAGTTTTACAGCTAAACAATGAAATGGTTACCTAGTTTTACAGCTAAACAATGAAATGGCTACCTAGTTTTACAGCTAAACAATGAAATGGTTACCTAGTTTTACAGCTATACATTGAAATGGTTACCTAGTTTTACAGCTATACAATGAAATGGTTATCTAGTTTTACAGCCTATACAATGAAATGGTTACCTAGTTTTACAGCTATACATTGAAATGGTTATCTAGTTTAACAGGTATACAATGAAATGGTTACCTAGTTTAACAGGTATACAATGAAATGGTTACCTAGTTTAACAGGTATACAATGAAATGGTTACCTAGTTTAACAGGTATACAATGAAATGGTTACCTAGTTTAACAGGTATACAATGAAATGGTTACCTAGTTTTACTTGTAATCATTGAAATGGTTACCTAGTTTTACAGGTATACAATAAAATGGTTACCTAGTTTTACAAGTATACAATAAAATGGTCACCTAGTTTTACAGGTATACCATAAAATGGTTACCTAGTTTTACAGCTATACAATAAAATGGTTACCTAGTTTTACAGGTATACAATGAAATGGTTACCTAGTTTTACAGGTATACAATAAAATGGTTACCTAGTTTTACACATATACAATGAAATGGTTACCTGGTTTTACAGGTAAACAATGAAATGGTTACCTAGTTTTATAGGTATACAATTAAATGGTTTCAAAACTTTACAAGCATACAGTTAAATTATTACCTGGTTTAACAAGCATACAATGAAATGGGTACCTAGTTTTACAGATATACAACACAATTGTTACCGAGTTTACAGGTAAACAATGAAATGGTTACATAGTTTTATAGGTATACAATAAAATGGTTACCTAGAATTACAAGTATACAATGAAATGGTTACCTAGTTTTACAGGTATACAATGAAATGGTTACCTAGTTTTACAGGTATACAATGACATGGTTACCTAGTTTTACAAGCATACAATAAAAAAGTTACCTAGTTTTACAAGTATACAATGAAATGGTTACCTAGTTTTACAGGTATACAATGAAATGGTTACCTAGTTTTACAGGTATACAATGAAATGGTTACCTAGTTTTACAAGCATACAATAAAAAAGTTACCTAGTTTTACAAGTATACAATGAAATGGTTACCTAGTTTTACAGGTATACAATGAAATGGTTACCTAGTTTTACAAGCATACAATAAAAAAGTTACCTAGTTTTACAAGTATACAATGAAATGGTTACCTAGTTTTACAGGTATACAATGAAATGGTTACCTAGTTTTACAGGTATACAATGAAATGGTTACCTAGTTTTACAAGCATACAATAAAAAAGTTACCTAGTTTTACAGGTATACAATAAAATGGTTACCTAGTTTTACAAGTATACAATGAAATGGTTACCTAGTTTTACAGGTATACAATGAAATGGTTACCTAGTTTTACAGGTATACAATAAAATGGTTACCTAGTTTTACAGGTATACAATGAAATGGTTACCTAGTTTTACAGGTATATAATAAACTGGTTACCTAGTTTTACAGGTATACAATGAAATGGTTACCTAGTTTTACAGGTATACAATAAAATGGTTACCTAGTTTTACAGGTATACAATGAAATGGTTACCTAGTTTTACAAGTATACAATAAAATGGTTACCTAGTTTTACAGGTATACAATGAAATGGTTACCTAGTTTTACAGGTATACAATGAAAATGGTTACCTAGTTTTACACATATACAATGAAATGGTTACCTGGTTTTACAGGTAAACAATGAAATGGTTACCTAGTTTTATAGGTATACAATTAAATGGTTTCCAAACTTTACAAGCATACAGTTAAATTATTACCTGGTTTTACAAGCATACAATGAAACGGGTACCTAGTTTTACAGATATACAACACAATTGTTACCTAGTTTACAGGTAAACAATGAAATGGTTCCATAGTTTTACAGGTATACAATAAAATGGTTACATAGTTTTACAAGTATACAATGAAATGGTTACCTAGTTTTACAGCTATACAATAAAATGGTTACCTAGTCTTACAGGTATACAATGAAATGGTTACCTTGTCTTACAGGTATACAATAAAATGGTTACCAAGTTTAACAAGTATACAATGAAATTGATACCTACTTTTACAGGTATACAATAAAATGGTCACCTAATTTTACAGGTATATAATGAAATGGTCAGACCATAGTTTTACAAGCAAACAATGAAATGGTCACCTAACATTCCTAATTTTATAGGTATACAATAAAATGGTTACCTAGTTATACAGGTATACAATGAAATTGATACCTAGTTTTACAGGTATACAATAAAATGGTTACCTAGTTTTACAGCTATACAATGAATTGGTTACCTAGTTTTACAGCTATACAATGAAATGGTTACCTAGTTTTACAGCTATACAATGAATTGGTTACCTAGTTTTACAGGTATACAATGAAACGGTTACCTAGTTTTACAGCTATACAATGAAATGGTTACCTAGTTTTACAGGTATACAATGAAATGGTTACCTTGCTTACATGTAATAAATAAAATGGTTACCTAGTTTTACAGGTATACAATGAAACGGTTACCTAGTTTTACAGGTATACAATAAAATGGTTACCTAGTTTTACAGGTATACAATGTCCTCTCTCATCCCTAACTATACACTGGTTCTCAACATCCCATTTGAATAATCCACAGGGAACCACTTTTTCCTATAATTGTATTCACTTTAATAATAAATCATGATTGTAAATTAAAAGTAAATTCTGCAGTGATATGCATAACATATGTATGTGAAAAGGTAAATATCATTTTTAGCTTGTCTGTTTCAAAGATAAATTCAAGCTTTAATGACCACTGCAGCATCTTTGTTATATGCCAAAATTGCAAAAACTAAATGTAGCCCATTATTCAAGCAAATTAAAAGTAATCAACATGAAACTTGGAATGTTTTCTTATCAAGACATGGTGCAGTTTTAAGACAAGGGGCATAATTCTGAAAGCAATATTTTTAGGGTTATGCCCCTTTTCAACTGAAAAAACAGATGGATGTTAATACTGCATGCGGTGCTCTGGTTTCATTTGACTTTTTCTGGTTAATCAAATGCTACTGGACATGAAGTCAACTTGCAAAGTTTATCCATGCAAAAGAATGGACATCATGGATTTGAAACCACCCCAGAAAAATTTTTTTTTTATTTATATAGCAGATAATAAATGTCCGCGAACAAAATATTTATATTTATCATACATTTCTATTAGTTTTATCAATATTTAGAATATTAATGGAATATTTGCCAATTTTAGACCAATTCACTTTAATGCTGTTAAATTAATTATTTCTTATTATTACAGAATTTCAGTAAAAAAAAAACATCAAAAATTTGTTGTAACAATTATATTCTGGAAAAAAAAACTTATGATGTCAAGTATGATCAAAGCATAGAAAAAGCATTTGTGTTTATATGTCAGATTGTATATAAAGCAAATAAGCTGAAACAATATGAGCCGCGTCATGACAAAACCCATATAATGGGTTTGCGACCAGCATGGATCCAGACCAGCCTGCGTTATCAGTTTCTCTACTTGTAATAGGGTTGGTAAGCGAACAGCATGGATCCTGATCAGACTGGGCGGATGCGCAGGCTGGTCTGGATCCATGCTGGTCGTAAACCAATTATGTTGGTTTTGTCATGACACGGCTCAATTATGCTTATCATTTGCAGACTTGTATGAAACTATAAATAAAATTTCAACCTACCAGCAATGGGGAGGATCTCCCACATGAACCAATCACATTAGAGACATTAGCAAATCCGGCCACACCCTCTGTGCTGGCATAAAACTCTGCAATGGTTGGTATACCAAACCTCTCCTTAAACTCAGCAAAGATATCTTGTCTTAAACCATTGCCTATTGCCAAACGAACAGAATGATCTTTGTCTTGGTCTGACTGTAAACAAAATATATACTGTTAAAGGCCCATTGTGCCTTAAAAACAGTACCAATGTTGTTTCCCAAAAAAAAATTTTTTTGTAATCTTGTAACAATTTATATACATTGACTAGTTTTTGCAACTATAGCTCTGTTGGTAATTGATGTATTTATAGGGATTAAAATTTTGTATGGAAGTCAAAATACACACTTTGTTTACACTTTGCTACCTTTATGACACATTACTCACTTTCAGCACTACTTTCTTCAGTTGTTAAACATCTGACAAAATATTGCTCTAAATCAATTATTAAAACATTATTATATGGGCCTTAGGTAATAAGTTACAATTACAACTCCGAAGGCATGTCGAGGGTTGACTGCAGTATCTTATGTGAAAAAAGAAGGACTTACAACAGCTTTACGGTCAACCCTCGATGTGTCAAATTTCAAGACAATGCTCTCAGTAGTTAATTAGAATAAGCACACACACACAACCAAAACATAAATATACCGGTCTATGCGCATTGAAACATTTCTTTAAATTAACTTAAAAAAGTTCTATATTTATACTGTACAAACCTTTTCATTGGTAAGAAGAAATCGGCACATTTCTCCGATAAAAGTAAACACAGTGACCTTATGTCGCCTTACATCATTCCAGAAACCACTCTTAGAAAACTTCTTGGCTATGGCTATAGATGAACCTGTAATTACACATACATGATTGATTGGTACATATCCAGCTACAGAAGTAGGGGGAATTGGCTTTAAAAGCAGAAGGTTTGCATATTCATCTGATAAAAGAATTTTTTTTTGTGTTTATTTTTTGTTTGTTTAGGTTTGGTTTACCTCACACCAACACAGTATAGGTAATATGGCGACTTTCTAGCTTTACTGGTGGAGGAAAATCTCATGCACCAATCTGTTCAATATTTCAGGCACAAACAGGCAAAAGGAGAACCACTGATGTTCTGTAAGCCAGCTGGATAGCTTTTTCAGATTATACAAAATTGCTGACGTGTCTCAAAGATAATGTGTTTTTTCACTTTAAAATGACCATTCTTTCATCAGATACTAATAGGTTTAAGATAAAGAAGTTAACTGAATACTTACCATGACAAATTGCAGAACACACGCCAACAAACAGTCCGTTAGAGTGATAAAGCGGTAACGTGACATAAACTGTATCGTCTTGTCGTAGTTTAAGTATGCCACTTAAAATGTATGGTGCCAACATTCGTTTGTGAGAAACTGTGGCAGCCTTTGGTAAACCTAAAGATAGATGTAAAGATGGTAATAATAAAGATCTTACACCAGCTGCCAGCACAGACCTGAATATCTAGTTTGAGAGTAACTGTTTATGATGGTTACCAGACTCTGCCGATTTTCCATTAAACAGTTACCCAAGAGCTAGATATTCTGATCTGTATCAGTAGCCAGTGTAAGAGCCTTTTTCTTGTATAATATTTATCACACTTTAGAAAGAAATAACGACAACTAATATTTTCATTTAACACTTTTTTGTTATAGTAACCTATCAATTTACAACTTCACTCTTAACGGAAAAATGACATCATTCTAAGACGCAAGTCATTCATAAAATGGGAGGTGTAAGACGGGTTCTTCTGGCACAAGTTTCAATAGAAGAAAACCCAGTCTGATAGGCATGAATAAGTGGTTAATTGCTTATAGTGAATTAAACAAGAGACAGCTGCTTATAAATTGGTCTGCAACCCCTCTCCAATTCTTACATGTTTGTACATTGTATACATTATATAGAACATTTTGTTTTGAAAAAGGTTAAGGACACCAGAAACACCAGAAACTTACCAGTTGTACCGGAAGTAAAGACAAACACAGCTGAATCTGACTCCTTCTGTTCCGACCTCATAATGGGGTCAATATCCAACATATCAGCCTCACTTTCATTGAAATGAAGGGAGATAAATCTTGATGACAGTTTCTTATTGAAGGGTCCTTGTACATAGACAACTGCGTCTGGAAGGTCACAGAGAAGGTCATCTACGGCTGATGTCAGCTCTGTATCTACGGAAATAATAATCTCAGTATTTTGATTTTCAATATTTATAAAGTCTTTACTGTTGAAAAAATGTTTTCATAATTTGAGTATTTGAAAACTCAAGAAGAAAACCAAAGAGAAACTTCTCACCAAAAAGCCAAAATTGAGTTGTTTCCATAATCCTAATGTAAAGTCTCAGAACAGTTGTAAAACATAGAATATTTTTGTTAAGTAACAAACATGAGTATTGTATGTAAACAGAATAAAATATTCTGGAACAAGATAATATACTGCTACTATATATATGATATTTTCTGTTTAGTTTATACAAATTATTTTAGTTAGGTTGTGTTGTAAGCTATAAGCTTTTTGAAACACTCTTGAATCCGTTCCTGGAACCAACTAGTACTGAATGTAAAGCAATAAATGCAAAGTTTCTTGCTCAAGGAAACAATGGTTTGCCCCTGACGGGGTTTGAACCCATGCAGCCAGCAATCCTTAGATTACTAGTCAAACGCATTAACCACTGGGCCACGCTGCCACTTTTCCCATTTAACAATGATTTAATACATAGGTCATTTGCTTTTATTATAAGGTAAAATTCAAACACGTTTTAATCTTACAAGCATTTTTGAATTACTTTTCCAAAATGATAAACAGCTTTCTGTACACTTTATCATGTTCGTGTTATTTTAGAAGTTTCAAATTACCACTTCCTGTAACAATGGTGTTGGTTCCAGATACATTCAGACAGTGTAATAGTGCCTTCCCACGTAAATTGGTGTTGATAAGTGATACACATATACCTGCCTTCAAACAGCCTAAAAAATAAACAAAACTGAAGTATAATGGATTAATGCCATTGTGGTTTCATCCCTTTGTATATTCAAATCAAAACATCATAAACAGTACTTTTACTTAAAATTAATTAAAATTAAAATTCATGTTAAAATTCAACTGAGGTTTTTTTTTTGACATGACAGGACTGGAAATATTATTTGTTTACCATATATTTAATGTAGGTCTGAGCCAATAATTTGTGTACAAATTTTCAGATCATTTCCTTACTCCATTGTTCCATAATAACCATATTTATTGTGCAAAAGTGACTCAAAAAAGTATTTCATTCAAACCGTACAAAGAATTACACAAAAAGTTGATTTCCGTTTAATTTTGAGTATACTAGTATTTCTTAAATACAAACTGTTGCAGATTTTTCTGTTTAAAGTGCTTCACTATGTCTAAATCTAATTGTTACAGTACTTAAAACTACATGTATATGATTTTTAATTTTTTGACTTCAGTGAAGCAGCTTTAAGAAATAAAGATCAGTGTAACTATCTTACCGAGAATCATCCATATAAATTCTGGTCCATTATACTGTATAAATGCAACTGTATCACCTTTCTTAAGCCCTAAACCCATCAATGTTCTTGTAATTATGTAAGCTTGCTTGTTTGCCTCCTGAAAATACAAATCAGAGACTCATAGTGTCTTTTTCTTTTGTTTTTACAATCTTTCGGAGTTTCCTATTAGTTTATTTAGACTTAGACTCTTTTAAACATGATACTCAAAAATGAGAAAAAATGTAGCCATTCAAAAATAATCAATATCTAAAAGTTATGAACATCTATAATTTCAAGTCAGGTGAAAGAAGGAAAAGGTGGAGTTTTAAATCACACCAACACTGCTAAATCTAAATGGGCCGTGTCACGACAAAACCAACATAACGGGTTTGCAACCAGCATGGATCCAGCGCAGTCTGATCAGGATCCATGCTGTTCGCTTATCAACTCTATTACAAGTGGAGAAACTGACAGCGAACAGCCATGGACCCTGATCAGACTGCGCGGATACCAGGCTGGTCTGGATCCATGCTGGTCACAAACCCATTTTGTTGGTTTTGTCATGACGTGGCTCAAATAACATGTAGTTATATGGTGACTTTCAAGGTTTACTGACTGATGTCTCTTCACACTACATTATTACAAGCATGAATGGGCACCAGAGTAGATCCTCAACCTTCCATATTAAGTTAACTAGATAGCTTCCTCAAACCATTGGGATATTCAAGCCCACAGCAGTAAGTGGCTAATTGCTTGAAGTCAATGTAATTCTTTTACATTCAGCATAATGTTGGCATCAGATCAGATTCTATTCTTGCCACCAGTGCAGACCAAGATCAGTGAGCACACTTGTGATGTCAACTTGCAGATCATGGTCTGCACTGTTTGCTATAGAGCAGGTTCACATTTTGAAATTCTACCTTAAAATGATGAATGGTTTAATCCAGATTGAAAGAAAGACAATGGCTATTACAATAATTAGTGTGGGTAGGGTTATGTTTTTACTCTGAGAACTTTATTCTTCTTAAATCTATTCAATCTACTAAATATTTAATGTAAATACATCTGTATGTCCAAATAGTTGTCCAGTTATTCAATATTTTAAGATAACAGCACCTTACAGTGCTTTATATCAATATATAAAAGTCATAAATTTTGTTTCAAGTTTAAATACAAAAGGATGAACACAAATCTTCAATCAACTTACCTGATACGTAAATGTTTGATCCTCGTATGACAAGAAAATGCGATCGGGACATTGTTTAACTGAGTTTTCAAAATGATCAATTATAAAATATTTCTTCCTACAGGCTTTCTTAAAGCCAGCAAGACTAGGGACTACTTTCGATATATAATGGACGTCTAGAATAAGCCATGGACAACTCAGCTTGATTCCTACATAGACTGTGGCAAAGGCTGCTGGTATCAACCATAACACTTCCCACCACATCTGTAACAAATTAACAATTTCATATACAAGGGAGATCTCTAAGCTACCTCCTGGTTTCAATTGAGCAAAATATTTCAAGAAAACCAAACTTAAGAAAAAATGTACTAAGATTTCAAGAAAAGTAAAAAAAATAATTAAAGGTTCAAGTAATGCTTTACATGTAATGTGACATTAAAGACTGATTTAGCAGTATATATCACCATATTTCTACTTCATTTTCTACTTCATGACTGATGTTACAAAGTTTTAAGGGCTAATTTTGCATATCTTAGCCTATTTTGGTAATAAAGTGGAATGTTATGTATTTAAAACCTTAAATTGCAATGTTTAAATTACTTTTTTTGTTCACTGCACAATATTTAACTGCTAAATATAATTTCCAAATTTTCTTGAGCATTATAATTAAGAATTAATCTGGAGGCATGCAGCTTTAATCATGATTTGAAATATTTGTTTAATTTTAACACAACTTTTTTGGCTGAAATAAAATAATCCTGAGCAAATCTTGTGTTATATTGTATTGGGACTTTAAGAGCTACATGTATTTCTAATAATATGATTTCGATTACATTTTTTAGGCATTTTGAAAAAAATCTTTTAATACAAAATTGCCAGTCGGCACATCCATCCAATCAGGGTAAATGTTACCTTTGTCACTGCCCAATTTTATCTTAATTATCTTTTTGATGTTTATTCCCCATAAAATAATAATGGACAGTTCCCAATCTAATCAGAGATAAGTCCAATTTACTAAATTAGTGACAAAAGAGTTAATAATACTTTATATAATTTAATGATAAAAAATATAAATACTTTATCGCATGCTTGTACCACTTTTGCAACTTTGTACAAAAATGGTATTGCACTGCCAAGCATATAGTTTGATGTGACATTATTTGCGTCATACAAACAATTAGCGTCAAGATGCAATTAACATTAATGCCTCAATGAAAGATTATTTTTTTACTTTAGACAGTCTTTACTTAGGGTATGTGATAAATAGAATATCATATTAATTTGTATATATTCATTACTGAATTTTTTGAACATGTTGAATTAAATGATATTAAGCTCACTTGAGGCTCACAAAATATAATTCAGGGTTTTTTTCAAGCATTTTTGGAAAAGGACACATACCCATGGAACTGGGAATTTCAGCAATGTTTTGTTAAAAATTGGGAAAAAATGCATGACTTGAATTTCGCAGTGATTAAATGAATGTAAAGAATCACTGCCTTGGATGGCATCTTCAAACATTTAAGCACCATAACTTTGAAGAAGCCCTAACTTTCAAAGACTTTAGAATTTGTTATTCAATATTTTTATTTTATAACTTTCAATTGGGAATTTTTTCCTGTGGATTCAGGAAAAATAAAATACTATTTTCAATTGGGAACATGACCGAATATCGGCTATAGAATAAGCCAAAAAAAAAATCCCTGTAAATGTAGTTAACTCATTCAATAAATTCTGTATTGAACTTACACTCAATCAATATTCTCTATCATTCAGCACCTTTGTACTATATACAATGTAGGGCAGTGTCTTTCACACAAAATTTTGACACTGTCCTCTGGTCCTAGGAAAGAATTTCAGAGAAATGGATCCAAATTGTAAATTTTTAAAGTCAGCTTAACTATTTTTCTTGAATTAATCATTTAGTCATTCAATGAATACTATTGTACTGTTGTAAACATAAAAGTGTTGAAGCCAGTGTCATTTGCACTTAATGCAATTGTTTTTAACTGCTATTTCAAGACAACGCGCCTGCTTAGTGTAATCAACGATTTTTAAGCAGTATGATTGGATGTAGACGGTGGGGGGGGGGTGGTCATGAGATAGTCTGACACACGCCGAATACCTGTGATGTATTATGTGTGTAGAAGTTCCTTCCTTATCAAACAAGTTCCACATTAAGTCTTTCAGAAAACACAGACTTTCCATGCATTTCTGTCTATAGGTTTAATTTAAAGGTAAGACAAATAATCCACTTACCTTTGTTATCATTTAGTGTAAATGGCGCAAGGACTGAAAAGGGGAGTAACTCTTTCAAATATAAAGCCGGTTTTTTTTTTTTTAATTCATTTTTTTTATTTTATAAAAAAATATATTTATATAGTTATGTAACATACACGAACACTGTAAATATACCCATTTTATTTGATATAATTACAAACATATATTTTCTATCATGCTAAACTACAAAATACATTTGCAAAAAGATAAAAAAGACATTTGTAAACCATGTAAACATACATATGTATACATATTTAACTTGTCTTCCCAATAAAGATACATGTCTTTTTTTTCTCTTTTTTTTGAGATTCAGATATCATGTATAAAATTTGTACAACATGTATAACAAAAGTTACATAACAAACTGCAATATGGATAGAAAAAAAATCGCCATATTAAGACAATATTAAATTCAGGCACATATATGTATACGTTAGTATCAATATTTCATTTCTCTGATTGTAAGATTTAGTAAAATAGATAAATATTTGCATAACTTCATGATTAGAGCACCGGAACTTGCACACCTATTTGGAGCGAAGCAATCTGATAGGTGGTGCTAAAGGTGTATGTTCAGTAGATATGGCATACCACAACAGTGTTAAAAAAAAAATATTGTATAAACTGTGTTAATTTTCATCGATTATATAATAATTTATTTAGGATCATAATACATGCGTCCATAAAAGATAATTTTAAAACAAGTTTACACATCAAGATTATTTGTATGTTTTAATGAAAATGTTTTAGTTTAAATTCTTAACTGTTGAAAAAAATACAATATACATCTATTTAAAAAGATTTGAAATATCTATTCTGCAATGCATTTTTAAAAATAAATTTTAAGGAGGCATTCTTTGAATAATTATAAATTCTCAATTCATTAAATTATTAAAGGCCCATTGTGTCTCAGAAATGCTATCATTTTTATTTCTCGAAACCCTTTTTTATTTTTGGTATTTTGTTACAGTTTTCAAAAACTTTATTCGTTGCTTTAAGAATATTTTTGCTCTGTGCCTATGTTGTCAATTAGCATAATTATAGTAAATTAGTATTTTGTATGGAAATCAAAACACTATACATTGTACTTTGTTTATATTTTGTTAACTTTATGACACATAACTGCATGCTCAGCGCTAACTGTCTTCAGTTGTTAAACATCTAACATGCTCTAAATCCATTATTAAAATACAAAAAAAAACGCATGATTGACATTTCTAAAGAATTAAAAAAAAAATTATTATTAATTATGAGAATTTTTGTATCACATTTGCAGATCCATATTATACAAGTATGTGTAATTTATTGTATATTGCTGTATTCATGAAAGATTCTGTATTTATTTGACAAAGTTTTTATTCCCGCGTTAACGTCACGTTCGGTTTAGCGTATAGTTAAACGGACGTTGCGTCATTTGTCATTTGTTATTTTATAAACGTCAATTTTTCTGAAGAAGACTAAACGTCGAAAGCTTAAGAAAAGCGTTTGTTTTTATTGAACTGATTATATAAAGAATTAAAACAAATATGGAATTCTGAGGCATAGTGTGCCTTTCAACGATTCGGTATTTCAGAACATGATTGTTTGGTTATTGATATCTTCAAACGTTTCTTTTTGTGATATTTTTGAAAGTTTTTGTGGATTTCTCGTAATAAAACAATGGGTCTCCAACTGTCCAATAATCGAAGCCTTCTTCCTTCAATTTCACCTTCGACTGTTTTATCGTTGACGTCATATCCAGCTCTCCCCATTTCAAGCGCAGTAACATTGGAATGGCATAGACCGGAAGTGAATGTTGGCAGTGAGTTGAAATGGCAGACAGTTCTTTCTCAGAAATAACAGTGACTTCCGGTTTTATCAGGAGCGTTGCCATACCAGCTTTTCCATCATGTCCTAAATAAAATATGATGACAAACATGAACTAATACAAAAAAAAAGAAAACAAAATACTTGTCACGGTTAAGAACTGTTCACTATTTAGGGGAGAAGATGTGTTAGGGCCCGGATAGCTCAATCGGCAGAGTAGCGGTACGGTATTCCGAGGGGTCCGGGTTCGAGTGCCTGTCAGGCAGCACATTACCATCACTCTGTGACGTTAGGCGCCAAACGCTAGGCCAGTGACTTAACGAAATTGTAGTTACATCAACTTTTCAGAAATATATTTGAGGCGGGGAGCCTTTCAAAAATATCAAAAGGCTAGAGGTATCTTCATGAGCGATGCTAAAAGTGTGGTGTTGTAAGGTAGTGTCGGAAATAAAATAAATAAATAAATAAAATTCTTTCACTAATTATCTTGTTACATTTGAAATTTGGAACTCATGCAAGCGAAGTTTTCAAAGTGCACGAAACTGTATTTGGGGTCTTTTTTTCAAGACTCAGAGCCCAAGTTTGCATCTAGAAACAAGACAATTATTTGCTCACCTGGAATCGGAACACCATACACACACGCGTCTATGATAAAATCTATATCTGTGAGGACATTGCTAACTTCTGTTGTAGAAATGTTTTCACTTTTCCATCTGAAATAGTAAAATATCTTTATCTATTGGTTTATAGATATCACTTGTGCATTCTAAAGCATTTCTCAAAAATGATTAAAAAACACGGAAAGAGAATATACCAAAATACAAACACTTCATGAATTTACGATTTTAACCTTATGATTTAAACTTCAAGAGCTCAAGATTATACAAACTGAACTTCTTAAATTCAATTATTAATATGCCAAAGTCTTTCCCGCAGGTCAAGTAGTCTCTCAAATAACAAGAAGAAAATTCTTAAGTTCATTATCAAGTCTGCGGCTGTGTGGACTGCGGGGTTGAAGGGGGTGGGCGGGGGAAGGGAAAGGGAGGGGCGTGTATACCAACCTAAAGGTATCCCCGATCCTGTCGTTGAAATATATATTATAGTCTTTGTCTTTGACCATCATGTCACCAGTGTTGAAATATACGTCACCATCCTTTCTCACATTGCTATAAATGAAATGAGTCGCGTCATGACAAAACCAACATAATGGGTTTGCGACCAGCATGGATCCAGACCAGCCTGCGCATCCGCGCAGTCTGATCAGGATCCATGCTGTTCGCTATCAGTTTCTCTACTTGTTATAGGGTTTGTAAGCGAACAGCATGGATCTTGATCAGACTGCGCGGATGCGCAGGCTGGTCTGGATCCATGCTGGTCGCAAACCAATTATGTTGGTTTTGTCATGACGCGGCTCAAATGTTTAGTTTTATACAAACTTTATTTTAGTTCAATTGTATAGGAAGATATATGCTTATAGACGAACTCTTGAATCCGTTTCATGGACCAACCAGTACTTAGCAATGAGTGTAAAGTTTCTTGCTCAATAAAACGACGGCTAGCCTCAGATGGGGGTTGAACCCATCCTGCCCAGCAATTACTACTGCGACACGTTAACCACTTATAGTCACGTCACCGCTTAATATGACTGTAATGCTTGAAAATCCTAATTAACCACAAATTTTTTGCTAAGCAGGCTACAACTTAACCATTTTCTCATTTATAGTTCAGATTTTGTGTAACCGCCCTGCCATAAACTTTACAGAAGCAAAATTAAATTTTGATTAAACGTACCTAACTTTTTTACTTTCCGACTGCTTTTTTTGACCTTTGTATCCGTCAAACTTTTGATCCCTTATTATTTCCATTAATAATAAACCTGGTGTCCCCTGCAACGTCGATTTTTTTGCCCAGTGAAAAAATGAAATCAGGGAAAAAAGGGGGTTTTTTGGGAAAACGGGAATAAAAGTTTCTTTTTAAAATTCCGTTTTTACTTAAGTTTTAAAAACATTTTTCCAAAATTTGATTTCCCTGGCACTATATAAAATTTAAACCCGGTTATTCCGTAAAGTTCAAAATTGACATGTGTATAAAAAATTTTAAAGAAAATATTTTTAAAATAATTTAAATTTTGGAAAATTTTAACCCAAATTTTATCAATTTAAAATTTGTAGGGATTCCCTCCCAAAAAAAGAGAAACCCCCATTTTCCCTAGTTTTTACGGTAACAAAAAATTTTGCCCTTTTTTGTCCCTCACCAAACGTTCATTTTTCAACACCCCTTGGAATAATCCGAAACCCAAAACCACACGGTCCTTTTTAAAAAATGATCAATGTTTTTTTGTTATAAACCCAATTTTAACTTTCAGGTTTTAAACCTGTTTTTTAAAAAAACCATCTGGGAAATTAAAAAACCACCCTGAAAAATAAAGACCCCCCTTCAAAACAAAAAATTTTTTGATAAAAGTTTACAAAAAAAGTAAACTTCACATGAGAAAATTGTCTTTTTAAAGCCCATTTTAAATTTTACCTTTTTGGGGAAACATTTTTGGTTACTGTTTTTTTTTCATACTTTCAAACCCAAATATTAAAAACGTGTAAAAAAAGTTAAGAAAAAAAAATCAATTTTGGGGTTTAAATGGTACTGCAGTTTTTGTTTTTAATATTTTTAAAATAATTATTTGTTAGGGTGGTAAAAAAACGTAAGAAAGAACTTAAATATATATTTTTCCAAGGTCATAAGGAATTTTTCCCCAAAAATTTTGGGTTTTAAAATTTTTTTCCCTCAAAAAGGGGCTCAAATAAAATTCCCCCTTAGGGAAAACCTTTAAAAATAATACCTGAAAAGGTTAATTTTAAATGTCAGGGGAAAAATTTTTAAAATTTTAAAATGTGGCAAAGTGGGCCCTAATTATTTTGCCTTGAAACTTTCCTAAAGGGAAAACGACCGGAACCAACCCGAAAATTTTTTCTACAAAGTAAAATGGAGACATTTTCTTTTTAAAACCCCTTTTTTTTTAATTAACAAAAGGCTAACCTTTTAATTTTTACTTTTAACTGTTATGGAAATTTCCGCTCAATTATTTATACGCTGGGGAAAACCAGAAAAAAAACATTTTGGTTTTTAACAAAAGGGAGGGAGAGGAAAATGGGTAAATGGAACAAAATTCACAAACCCGCCACATTTTTTTTCCCTTTTGACCCGGGGTAAAAATTTCCATTATTTTTTGGTAAAAGGAAAAATGCTGTCCTTTAATCACACAAGATGTTTTTGTTTTTTTAAAATTTTCCTTTTAGCCATGCGCACACAATGATTCTTATCTTGGTCCGACTGAAAAGTAAGTTTTGTAAGTTCATGCTTAAAATCTATCAACACATTATTCTGGTATTACATTAGAGCGGATTATACCATTTAAAGCGGCTTTCAGCTTTTTATTTTCTCTTGAAAAAAAAAAAACAACAACAACAACAACAATTTTATTTTGTTTCAAACTTAGTATGTCAGTAATTTTATCTTTGTACAGTGCATCATATCGCCGTTCCGTTTTCTTCAAAATAGCGTGACGTTCATTTCTAAAAATAGAAGATCCGGAAAAGAATCTTTGTTAGAGGTGCATACCTTTAATTATTATGGAAAGCCACTTTTACAATTAAATCAACCGTACTTTCCTTACTTTGTCGTTAGTAAGAAGAAATCGACACATTTCTCCAATGTATGTGAAAACTGTCGCTTTATGCCGCCGTACATCCTTCCAGAAATTAGTCCGCGAGAACTTCTTCACCAAAGCTACTGTTGATCCTGAAACAAGGGTATTTCATATACGTCATTTGACGTCATTTGTTAAAAGGCGTTAAGGGACGTTTTCTACTGCCAGCGTTCGTTATCATCATCATCTTCATAATCATCATCATCATCATCATCATCATCATCATCATCATCATAATTATCATTATCATTATTATTATTATTATTATTATTATTATTATTATTATTATTATTATTATTATTATTATATGTATTAATACCATACTTTTTACGGTCCAGTTGGAACATTTTTTACGTATAATTTTTTAACGTTTTATTTATTTACCTTGACAAATAGCACAGCAGACACCGACGATCAGGGCATTGGAATGATATAGAGGTAGGGTAACAAAAATTATGTCGTCTGCAGCTATTCCAAAAATGCCGCTTATAACAGATGATGACATCATTCTCTGGTTTGTGACGGTAGCTGCCTTTGGTAAACCTGAAATGATGCATTATAATGAATTTATCATAACAGTTTAACAATAGGCTAAATTTAGACAATTAAAACACTGCAAAAGGTAAAACAAAGGGAAGTAATCCATTGTTAAAACAGTTACTACATAGTGAATTCCCCTTAGCTTCTATAACTGACAGTGTAAAACTAAGGGGAGTTATCCATGTAAAACTGTTCAAACAGTTATTACACGGTGAACTCCCCTTAGCGTTAAAATATTCATTAGAGCATGTGGTCACGCTATACGATTAAAATTTATTAATATCTTTCCTAAAATGCTAAACTGTTGAAAACTGGTTATTACATGTAGTTAGTTGAATAGACGGCAGTAAACAGCGAAACACTTTTGAAATGAAAAATGCTGAAAAGATTTTATCTTCAACTGTAAAGGAATGTCTTTTAATTTTGACTCAATACTTTCAAAGTTACTATTATAACTTTTATGAACTTATTACCATAATTATATTATATCATATTTTCTACAAATTATGTTACTATAATCGCTTATCACTTTTTATAGTCATTATTATTATTTTATCTTTTCAATTTTTTATGATGTTGATGATGAGAATCAATTATCGTCGTCGTCGTCGGTGTCGTCGGTCGTCATCATCATCATAATCATCATCACCACCATTATCATCGTCTCTTTCGTCATCATCATCATCATCGTCGTCGTCTTCGTCGTCGTCATGATCGTCATCATCATAATCATCATCACCACCATTATCATTGTCTTCGTCGTCGTCATCATCATCATCATTATTATCATCATCATCGTCATCATCATCATCGTCGTAGTCGCAGTCGTCGTCATCATCACAACCATTATCATCATCATCGTCGTCGTCGACGTCATCATCAACATCATTATCATCATCATCATCATCAATGTCGTCGTAGCCATCATCATCATCATCGTCGTCGACATCATCACTATCATTACTATAGCACCATTTGCATCACTACTAAAGTGAGTATGTTTACAGATACTGACATTTGTTATAAAAATAATATAGAAAGTGTTTGTAACTTTGAGAACTTTACCAGTAGTCCCTGAAGTAAAGATGTATACGACCGGGTCCGATGCACTGTGTCCTGACCTCAAAGCGGGATCAATATCATCCGAATCTGCTGCATCAATTTTTCCCTGAAGGGAAACAAATCTAGAGGGCAGTTGGTTACTTGGGCAACCGATCACGTACACAACAGCGTCCGGAAGATCGCAAAGGACCTCGTCAACGGCAGATATCAGCTCAGTGTCTGAAATTTACATTTACATTTTGTGTTACAGTAAAACCTCTGTTTAGCGATGCCCTTGAGGAGATAAATGTTATTGTTGTTTACTGAGATGTATTGCTATAGAGAGTTTAAATATTTTTGATAAAAATAATTGATACAAATCGTTGTGAAGAGGTTACTGGTCTACAGAGGGCTGCTTGACACAGGATTCCCTGTAATGGTCCTTATATTAAGGCTACATTAAGCTGGTATCGACCCATACTGTAGAACTGGTTTTATTTGCGTATAGTTAATTCTCGCTCATATTTGCGAAAAATTTCTTTGTGAATTCATAGTTATCGTAAATTAAACATATATAATTATGTTATCCCGCAATGGCGGATATTTTATTTTCCTTTTTCTGCAAACACTTTTAATTTTGAATATGATGATGACGTGAATTCATGAATATGCAAAAAAAATCTACATTTTGCACAACAAACGGGAAGGTTTGGAAACCGCGAAATTAAAGTGTTCTACAATATTTTATATAAATGTACATCACGTGTAAACTAATTTTAACTCAATAATGGATGTAATCAAAGGGTAGCTTATTTTCCATAGTGATATTATACTTTTTTTTATATTGTCAGTTGGAGCTGAATTGACTTTATTTTTCAAAAGAATGACTATTATAATTGACATTGACGATAAGATCTATATCTGCTGAAAATATAAAAAGACTTCCCCACTCTTTTTATGAATTGAACCTTACAGGTCAATTCAGATAGATAATTACAAGAATGCTTTTGGGCCACGCGAGTCATTCATCGTTCAAGCACAGTATATTATAAATTTGAAAGGATTTATTGCAAAATGTAAACTCACTTTGACTTTTACGTACATAATGTCGCTGTAATCGGCAGAATTTTATATGTTATAATTAAAAACTATTATTTATCGATATCGCATTATATTGATGATGGAAATATAGTTACCACTTCCGGTCACAATGATGTTGGTTTCGGATACATTTAGACAATGTAGAAGCGCTTTCCCGTGCAAATTGGTGTTGATAAGTGATATTCTTACACCAATCTTCATACAGCCTGAAAATGGTAAAAGAATAAGTGAATAAGAATAAAATTATTCCATGTCTAAATTGTTGGTAGATTTCTACACTGAATAAAGTTTTAAAACTATTTATCTTTGTTTTTAAAATATAGTTTTTTTTATCTGATATTGTTATACATTTTTTTGTAAATGATAAATTTAATTTAAAATTGTTATTATATTTTAAACGAATGATGTTCTCACTTGTTTAATTTTCGATTGCGATAAATATTTAATGTTATAGTGTTATTTTTTATGTATAATAATTCATATTTGACGAATAAATCTGACAACGGCATTTATATATACCTAAATACATCCAAATAAATTCGGGTGTGTTATATTGTACTAAAGATATAGTATCGCCCATCTTTAGCCCTAAAGACAACATTGTCCTTGCAACCTTTGAAGCAAGCGTGTTGGCCTCCTGAAATTGAAAACAATTTTTTCATATTCAATGTGTGTTTCATATTTGTCAAATACACTCTAGTAGTCATTTTATATGTATTCATATACCTCATCGACACACAGATGAATTCTTAAATCTCGCCATGCACTTTCAGCCAGGGATATATTACCGATAACAGCACAGGGACAAACCGGCCCTTGTGCTGCTACCGACCATAAAAGACCAATCAACACGACATTATTATTGTGTTTTGTTCAATTGGTTAAATTCAATTTAGTTTAAACCTTTTCAAGTTAGTTGGTTCCACCTCTTCTTGAATACCGCGTTATATTTCATAGGATATGGTGCTTGATTTCTTACTTAAATATTTGCATAAAATTCTCCAGGCTTGCCGCAACAAACATTTAAAGTGCTTTGGTTAAATTTTGAAAGCTGTCTTATTACACAGGCTTCATAACTTCTGATCCCGTCTTAAAGTTTAATTTTATTTAATACCGCCAATGAATTACATTCTTTTATTATTTTACGAGAAACATACGTCGCTTTTAGTGAAATACCAGAAGGGCGGCATAGAATGTTCTATTTCCATCGCCGTAAAAAAAAAAAATTCGGGTATATTTTTCAATTCAAAATATTACCATATTCACGTGTTTAAAAATGTTGAATTCTGCCTAAGGCGGTGCTTAGGAGGAGATGGCGTGGAAGATAGCTCGTATATAACTACAAGCTCGTTCAAACTGAGTCTGCAACATGTTCAGTTACGCCGTTTGGCGCGTCCTTTCAAGTTTCAAATTTTCTGTTTTGTTAATTATTAACTGTTTGTTTGTAATCACAAACAACCTTATAACACAAATAGCTTCTCGTTTTGCCTTCATGATTTTATCTGTAAGTTTCGAGTTACACAGCATGAACTTTAAACCATTTTATTCATGACCTTAACATAGCCATGATTTAAGACGATAAACAAACTTTTTGAAGCACAATAGGTCAGTAACCTTTCGTATAAAGTACCCAAGTAAACAGATACCTACGGTGTCCCGTTAGGGCCATCGCCACACACATACAACTCGAAATAACGAAAATACGACAGGGAAAAGTCGAAATAACAAAACCACCCACGGTGGCGTAAAACGTTTAGCCATTGTTTACGCCTTTACATATTTTTTTAACAAGAAACTTCTTGCTTACCTTATATGTAAAGCGTTGGTCTTCATAAACCAAGAAGGCACGGTCTGGGCTGCTTTTCACTGTGTCTTCAAAATGCTCTATCATGAAATGCTTGTTTGCTATAAGTTTCCTTAACCTCGCAACTTTTGGAACCACTTTTATTACATAACTGATGTCCAGGAGTAGCCACGGACAGCACAGCTTGATTCCTAGGTAGCCTGCAGCCAGCAAAGCTGGGATCGAACATAGCACCTCAATCCACATCTGTAAAAACAAATTAAAATAAGTAAAGAAAACACGGATTTAACGTTAAAACATCATGTTAACGCAGTACACGAATTATATAGGCTTTTAATGTTATACATGAAAATGCAATGACGAGAAACACAACATAAACAAAAACAACAACAAATGTCAATCAGCTTTACAGAGTAGAGTTACAATGTGGTACAGTAGACTGGCGGCAAATTTTCTGTGACCTTCTTCACTATCACAATCTATAACTTGCATACATGTATGTCAAATATTGCATGCATAGGAATAGTTAGTAGAACATCAATATTGCTAGGTGTCGCAGTTCTGTCACTGTCCTTTAAAATCCATATATGGATACAAAAGATAAGAGAATAAGTCATTCGCTTTAGTCAGGAAGATATGTTAATTTGAAACTGTAGTATATGTAAAAAATGCATACTTACGATGCATTTAAAAACGTATTATCCAATGTTTGACATATATAAATTATACATGTATTCATTTATATATACATGTACAAAACACTACAATGTTACAACCACGTAGTAAATATGTATTATCTTTTCCGTAAATCGATTAAACCCGAGTAAAAAAGCGGTCGGTATTAAAAAGCAGTCAGTGTTTATAAACATATTTTTCGCTCTACTTAGTAATACATTGGCGTAGCGTAACGTGGTGTATACATCAATAATTCAACACTGTATTTACTTTTTCCTGTACCGCCAATGCTGTTAGCTGTTTATATGTAAATAACATATCAAAATAAATGTGAGGTATACATTATATCTATTGCGTTTTAGAGATTTAATATCATCACCAAATAAAATCTTGAATTCACTTTTATAATATTGTATAAATAATTGAAGTATCTGCCTACGTGTGGTCGTAATTGAGATATTAATAATTCAGTTTATTGTCTAAGGACGTGAAATGTGATAGCTAAGGGTATTAAAATATAGTTACAGTGCAATCCCGATAGAGCGACCCTCTGTAGAATACAGCGACAACGTCAAATCTTCAAGACAATATATTAAATTTTAAGGAACTCCATGCACTGAGGTCCAAAAGCCTAAAATAATAAAATTTGAATTTCTGACATAGATAACCTGGGGCGCTTAAAAACAAGGTCATGCAAAAGATAGTAAAGTGCTATTTTAAGCTTTTCAAATTTTGGTCATTTTTACAATTAGAATTATTATTTTGGGAAAGCGGAGCTAGCGAATGATCGGATTTGTTTTGCACATAAGTCAATGGTCTAGACCTACTCCTATCGGTACCGTTGGCCTAATGGTTAAAGCGCCCGCCTTCGGATCGGGAGGTCGAAAGTTCGAGCCCCACGGGGAGCGTTAATTGAAGGATGAATGTTTCTCGTTGGACTCATTCCGAAATGGCCGCTTTGTGAGCCGCGAGGTAGTTAAATGAATGGTTACCGGCTTCTATCCGCCTGGCGCCTGGCATAGTGGTAGGAGTTGGGAGGTACATGGTATGCAAGCAAAGGTGTCTCATAAGTCAGAAATGGCTGGCCCTTTCAGTAGGGGTGACACTACAATAAACAAGACCTTTACCTCTAATGGAAAATTAATCCACCATGTTAAAAAAAACCTCAGTGGAGCCCCTTTATCTTGATCTATGTAGATATATCGGTCACATTCATATTTGGGCAAACATTGTTTTCCATAATTAAATTTAAAAATGTTTAAATTATAAGTATAGGATATCAATATTCTTTTTAAAAGCAGCATAAATTGTTATATCAGTCACTGAAAAGTGGAATAAAAGGAATTAAATATGCAGGTGCCACTTTGAAATAAATGTTCAAACTACGACATAATTTTTATCACTAAAATCTTTTTCCGTTATTAACCTAATTTTCTGCATATTTCGACAAATAATATGCATTTATGCGAACAGCAAGTGTCTTTAAGAAGATTTAATCATATAGTTAGTACACTACTTAAAAAAAAACTATACGCATTAGAACTTATTTTTAAGGTTTCCATACTTTTTAAATGCCAAAAAAATGAAGGCATGCTACTTTAAAGTGAAAAGTATTCGCGTTGGAACATGTATTTTTGTCTTCAACGTAAATCATTGTTATTCTAGACGGAATGCTTTCATTTAATTATTTAGTAAAACAGATAGGAGTCACCTGTTTTAATTTCACATCACGTTGAAACAGTTGATTAAAGCTTTGTAAATTAGAAGAAAAAAATTAGTCCGAATTACGTCTGTCTTGAAAGTTTAAACTGGGGTCATATAAGACAAATAACTTTGTGAAAATCATTTATTTTCAAACAAAAAGTAGGATTCTACTCAGGCTATACTATTCAATTGAATTTAGACATATTGGATAGCACTCCAGACTTAATTTCAAGTTGCCGTCAATGTCCTACATAATTCTGATTACAAACTACACAACCTGAAAAAAGAAAATACGTTTTTTGAAAACATATATGACATAAGATCGCACATATACAATGAAATTATCCTATTTGCAATAGTCAGGCAGTCAAAAAAAGTCGCAATTCATTCCATTAAGCCAACTGACTCTACTGTGGTTCGAGACCCAAAACAACACATTTCGAAAAATTTTTTGCCAAAAAAAAAATTTCCTGCAAAAAATATGGAAAAAAAAGAAAAAACTGTCTCTTTCTTTAGGGGCCCCCCTATACATACAAATACAAAGTTAAATTTCTTTAAAGTTTTTCATCCCCCCCCCCCTGTAAAAAGACTTGTTTTTACCGAACATGCTGTTTAAAAGCACTGTTTACAAAAAATGACGGCCTTGACATTTACAATTAACAGCATGTGATTTCTGGCCATGTTTTCGACTTTGCTGGTGATCATATTACTAGAAGTCACAAACAACAAATTTCAAAGAAACCAGTCGTTTAAATCCAGAATATTCACTATATCCAAGAAATCCTCCCTGGCCATTCAAAGCTGTGGCTTCTATGTCTATGGTATGCTAGCTTAATGCTTTCTTGCCAGAAAATGTACAGGTTTAATGGAAAAAAAATAATATAACTATCGGAGAGCGACAATAACCAATCAAACCTTCAAATACAGCGCGTGCTCAAGCGCATGCGTAATTATCTATCAACCACCACATTTATTTATTTTTAAATCTTGAAAACGTGAAACTTGCTTATAATAAAAAGGAAAACATCCTCAAATGAGAGTGTTTAACATACAGGAAGTGCGATTCATAACGTGTTATACGAGATATTTCGTTACAGCCTTCCATTTTGTGTTTTGATAGAGCTATCACATGCTTATTATAAGTATCAACAGGAATATGTAGAGCTTAAGCGATAGTCAATATTCTTACACAAGTCGAAAAATACTCCAAATCATTGAATTTTGGACTCATTATCAAATCGCACACATATGTTGCTAAAACCACATCCGTCCAAAAAAAAACAACAAGAACAAACCGACCCTTTATCGAGAGACAATTCAACCTTCTTCGGAAACTTACATTTATTTCAAAACATGAACTTTACTATTCTGATTTGTCTTTAATTTGGTTCATCTGCTAAATTCAAAAGGAGTGCAATTGTCCAAGACGTCAACCATAAATACAACTTTACTTCCATCATTCAGAAGCTATTGCTACATTATTTCAACAACTTTCGATGACAGATTAATTTCGCACGATATCTCAAGGGTGTTACTTTTCCTATAGAAAAGGCAACCACAGTTTGTTAACGGGCAATAGAGACACTGCAAATGAAATGGTCGGCAAAGTAGGACAAAAGTAATCAATACATGCAAATTAATTGTCTACACTAAGCGGTTTCGCTGAATACAAATTTTATGTTGTTAAGCGTTCAGTTTTTAAAAATACAGGACAACCTTTGTAAAGCGACATCCTGTGGGAGAAAACATTTTTGTTGGTCCTGACAGATGTTGCTCTAAATTTTTTGTGAATGTTTACTTTGGCTGATATATTACTGTTGTTGTAAACAAGAATAGCTCTACAAAGGAAGGGTCGCTCTCTGCAGAGGTTAAACTATATTGTATTTTTATGTTGTTGGTTTTATCGCACTGCTGAAAAAACTTTTTTTATGTTGTTTGTCAAATGAATATTGGCACTGCTGAAAATTCGTTGTAACTACGGTTTAATGTAAGCTGTTATTGACAATGTACAAAACAGAAATACTTGTAATAAATCTGGACCAAGCAACTTTCGTACTACATTAATGTGAACCACTTATCATTTTTCATTACCATCTGGTGTTGACATTTCTAAAATGGACCACATCAATTACATTTTCCATAAAATAAAAAAGAGGGGTAAAATGGGGAACTATTCAGTTACTAAAATTACCTTCAGTTAAGCGTGAAACTTAACGGCAAGCTTTTAATGATCCTAAATAGTAATCGGTTTAAATAAAAAAAGAAAAGAAACAGACAATGTGGATTTAAAGAAAAAATAAAATTCGCACTGATTGCCAGGTGTTATATACTTAACTCCGTATTGCATAACAATATACATGGAAACATGACAATTTTAGCAGAATTTGGCAGAATATAAAAGTGTTGCAGGCTCGAATAGATAGAGCCATTTCATTTACAGGAGTGATAAATTCAAGCTATTGTTCATGCTCTCTAGCACCGGCTTAAGGGGAGAACATAACATGGTGTTTGATTAAGAAATTACAAGCATCCGTAGATGCTCTTATACAGCGGTAATTACAGAGTTTTCAATGTTACACTGCTGTGTCTTATAGTCTCAAGTAATAAAAATGTGTGCCAGAAGTGAGAAAAGAATGGACAGAACTGAAAAAATAAAAAGATTTTAGAGGGAGGTGAACGACTTTGTCTTCATAATCTTTAAATTGATTTATATCATTCTTAATTTCATTTTAATTCGTTTTCATTGTATAAACTTCCAGTAAACATAAATCTTTTCTTTTCATTAAGGCTGTTGTAATTTAGATAGAAATGAAATTGTAATTCGATTTCTTCTGTCTACGTTTTTTTTCCACAATAATCATGGCAATGAAATTGGTTGTGACTATCCTCATATGATAAATTAAACATTCTAACACTATTGGAAATTTTTCTACATAAACAAAGAAGGCCAGAAGCGTGCATTATTCTACAACAATGCACTCGACGTTCTTATTATCTCCCTGTGTATTTTCACATTGAGGGCGCCATTTTGTTTGAAAAATCTGATAAATAAAACATTTTTTGTCGAATTTTGTTGAAAAAACTATCTAGAATGAAAGAAAATGGCCTAACTAAGAAAATGAATCCGAACACCAATATCTTTTATTCAGTCGTTAACGCTGTACAGACGTTTAAAGTGTTGTTTACGTGACGTCACAATGTAGCGCCAAACAGCACGTGCAAAACAATCAAATCAAGTGCGCTATTTTAATATCGCAAACGAGTTAATTTTACATTTATTTCACTTTTAATAATTTGTATTTCGCTTGAAAAATTATAAAGTGAAATATAATAAACAAACAAAGTTTTATTAACGTTTTCAAAATTCGTTATTCTCAAAATGTTTCTTTAACGACAGTTTTTTTCAACCCACTGGAACAGCCTTTAAAGAACGTTTCTATTGGAAACTCTGAGGCCAAAACAAATTTAACCACCAAACATAAATC